TGTGTGTGTGTGTGTGTGTGTGTGATATTCACCTGCAATGCAGAAGCAGTCATCTGACCTGTTTTGGGCCGGTCAGCTTTGTGTCAAAGTCAAAGAACCAGGACAGATGTGCTCTCTCCTCCGTACATCATTTAAAAACTTGTGAAATAATGAAAACATTTCAATACTCACTTTCTTTCTAATCCATATTTTTATTTCTACATCTATGAAGGTGCCTTGTGTTTTAAAAGAGCAGCGTTTCCTTTTACGTGAATTCCACCACCTGCAGAAGCGCCCTTTCATAATCGTCCTTGACTTTCACATCCATCAATCCATCCATCTTTACAATTCATCCACTGCCATCGCGGCCCGACCCACCGCTCCGCCCCTCCCCCCCGCCGGTCATTGCAGGAGCTTGTGTGATGTTCTGCCGTCGTCAGGTCATCTCTCTCTCACAGTGTTGGCTGTGGGCTTAGCTGCCATTGATCCAGCCGGCCCGATGAAGCTGGATAAAGGACGTGAGCAGCGGCGTTTCTCGTTACAGATGACGCTCTATATCTCCAGCTGTAAATCCCAAGACAAGTGCTCTAAGAGCCGTACGGTTTCCCAAGCCCAAAGGATTTTAAGACGAGGCAAGGACTGAAATTGAATCCTAACATTCATCATATCGTTTGATTTCCATGCATGTATACTGTATGTATATGGATCAACCGTATCCATGACCTCACACTCTGGCTGCACATTTTCAGACATGATCTGAGGATCGGAGGAATCCTCGGATGCAGGAAGTGACATATTATTTTCCGCTGCGGCGATCATGCGATTTTGTTTACAGCACATTGACACCGGTGTCGGCTCCTATCACCAAAAAACTCTCCTGACATCTTGGTCGGTGTCTTCTGCGTGTGTGGCTCGGACATAATTGGGATTTTCTTTGTTTCATTTTTGGGTCCGTCACGTGTTAGAAGTGTCATCAACCCCGCCCCCGCTCGCTCGATGACTCCAGCGGGGGAACTCCTGCTGTACGCTCACATTGGATTCTCTATGCTGACGGTTTACTTGGGGGCCGGGTGGAGAAAGTTCAGTGTAAATCTGAGAACAGCCTCAGGAAGATAAAGAATGAAGACAGGAAATTCCTTCTTCGATGTTATTGATAAAAGTTAGTTAATAGTTTTTTACCGTTGCGTCTTGCTCGAGCCTTTATTCACACAAACAAAGGCTCAGTGTGGCCATCTGGTAGACTAAGCCAAGATGAACCATGGCGCTTACCCCGAGCCAATTCTGTACTTGCAGAGTAATGTCAGCAGATGCCCCCGACAGAATGAAATGTGACGCTTGATGCTAATGACACGTTTTACACCGTTTGACATTGTAGTGGGATATTTGATAACTCAAATAAATGAGCCTTCATGAGCTCTAGCCTTATTGGGGGAGGCTCCTGATTCCTCGCACTCCTCAGTGTATTTCTGAACCCGCTGATAAACTGCAAAGAGATGTGTTTGAAATTTAATTCCGTCGAGGGTAGAGCCCAACGGATTTAACGGTTGGCTGCTAAACACGAGCCCATGAGCCTTTCACCAATCTCGCACTCTCTAAAGTCCGTACCAAAAATACCTTCAGTGTGTTGAGAACGTCTTCTAAACCCAACGTGAAAAACTGAAGTAGGTAAGTGGTCGTTGAAACAACAGCAACAAGAAGACGACAGCCAGCCTTCTTATTGATCGTCCTTGCATTCTCTTCCTCCTCCCTTCCTCCTCTGTCCCCCGCTTCAGCGCTCCTCCACTCCTCCCTCCGCCTCGCTCCTCTCATCTTCTAAGACTATAATCACTGGGCTTACACTTCACTGTCAACTCCTCAGTGCCAGCGTGAGTGCGTGCGCCTGCGTTCCTGCACGCATTCTGTACGTGTGCGTGTTTTTTAAGTCCGTGCAACTTGGGTACACGGGTGTGGGTGAACACATGCATTTTCACGTGTTCTGCAGGCGGACACATACTGGGTGGTCAACCCCCCCAGTGTGTTTGTGTGTGTGTGTGTGTGTGTGTGTGTTATGTTGTTTGTTTAATCTGATTGGAGCATTGTAATGCAACAGTCAGATTTTGGGGTGTGTTCACTACCGACCGTTATTGAAGACGCCACCAGAATCCAGGAGAAGAGTCCGGAGCGAATATGACGTCATTTAGTCACATGGATATAAACAAATGCAGGTTTCCAACTGTGAAGAAAATCATCTGTGTAAATGTTTATTTATCTCATTTGATGAGTGACGCTGTCCGCTCTTGTTTTACTTTAACTACATGTCCTCGTAATTGTTTGCAGACCTTTACTCTGGATTTTAATCGAACCTGTACAGTCACATGTTTTTTCACATTCCACGAGTATCTGGTCATAAAGAAACTGTGTATTTGAAGTCAGCTTTCAGAAATAGCTCCTCAGTTTCTCTCTCTCTCTCTCTCTCTCTCTCTCTCGTCTTTTCTGTCTTTCCTGTCTCCTTCACCCCTCAGATCACCAGAAGCTGGAGCGAGAGGCTCGGATTTGTCGCCTGTTGAAACACCCCAACATCGGTGAGGAGACGTCTTTCTATTTCTGCACCGCTCACCAGCTGTTTCACTCACGTTTCATTTGTCGTATCGTCAAAAAACAAGTCACATTTTTTGATTGTTATAAAAAGAGAGATCAGAATCATGAATTCACTGAAAAAGTGAAAACAGATAATAATTGAAAGTATCTGAACTATTTCATGGTTTCACCGATTTATGAATTAATTGCTTGTAGAAAAGTAGAAAACAATTATAGAACCCTTTAATTATAAGGTGACACAAGATCATTAGACAAATATACTGTGTAATACATATATTTAACTTCCATCTGTAAACCCCCAATTATAGTGTGTATATATAAATATATATGCTATATGGTGTAAGACTCAATTATTATGACTCCCTGTGGTTTCTACCCCCTCACACACTCTCTCTCTTTATCCCTCTCTCTTTTTGCTTTTTTATCCTCCTACTTAAAATGCAGCAGTTGTATTCAGAAATGTTCTTTGCACTTTCAAATAGTTTAAAGGTTCCAGCTGCACTGAGACGGAGAAAACACGATAAACACTTCAGACGTTCATCTCTCAATCTGTTCAATCCTTCTCTTCCAGTTCGTCTTCATGACAGTATATCAGAGGAGGGCTTCCACTACCTCCTGTTTGACCTGTAAGTCATCCTCCTCTTCCTCTCTTCTCATTTCTCTCCTCTCCTCTCCTCTCATTTCTCTCCCCTCTCCTCTCCTCTCATATCTCTCCTCTCCTCTTCCTTTCTTCTCATTTCTCTCTCCTCTCCTCTCTCCTCCTCTACCCCTCTCCTTTCTCCTCCTCCACCTCGATTCCTCACCCTTCTCTACGTATGCAATTACATAACTCTCTCCTATATTTGCCCCCCCCACCCCCCAAACACCCCCAAACACCACCCACGCTCTCCACATCCATCTCGCTGCAATTCCCTCTTGTTTCCATGGTAACGATGTGATGGGGAGGGGGAGGCCTGGAAGATTGTGGAGGAGGGGGGGGGTACAGCAGGAAACATGAGATGGAGAAGGAATCCTTACTTTGTAGATTTCATACCCCCACCCGCCCCCACCTTCCTCCTACCCGAGCGTCACACTTTATTAAACGTGCCTCTGTGTGTGTGTGTGTGTGTGTGTGTGTGTGTGTGTGTGTGTGTGTGCTCGCAGGGTGACCGGAGGTGAACTGTTCGAGGACATCGTAGCCAGAGAATATTACAGTGAAGCCGACGCCAGGTAGGAGCTTCACTCCTGTGTGTTTCAGAGGGCTTCTCCTCGTCCCTGAACCTGGTCTGTGTCCTCTGTCGTCTTCGCTTTGTCTGTTCTTGTGGTGCTTATTTCTCCTTTCCTCTATTCTACACTCCTGGCTTCTCCTCTCGTCTCCTCTCCTCTCCTCTCCTCTCCTCTCCTCTCCTCTCCTCTCTGTCCTCTGCACTTGTTTTCTTCTCCTCCGTCTCTGCTCTCCACATCCTCTCCTGAAAGCTGCTCTCCTTCCTCTTTTCTTTCGACTTCACCCCCTCTACCTCCTCCTTTCATCAACATACATTCACAACTCTTCTTTTTCACTCGTCCTCCTCTGTCCTCCGCTTCTTCCTTTCACATCGATACAGAATATTTCACCTCTCAACACTGACACAGGAGATACTTTCATTTCCAATCCAAGGTTTGATGAATGGCCTCGTCAGATTGTTATAAATCAGCTTTTTCACATGTGTGAAGTCGGTGAATGTTGTTTTCAAATATAAAAACCCAAATCAGTAAAAGCTGATGATGAAGCGTTGTGAAGACTCTAGATGTGACTTTCTTCCTCTGTGGGCGTCACATCTCCCACAGGAACACGTTCAGGTTCCAGAGCTTCACACCCATACAGCAGCTTGTTGTCCAAACCCTCCTCCAATCTGTAAGATCTCTCCGTCAGAAGACTCCGGCTCAAACAAGTAGGGACGGCCATTGAAGTCCGTACGTTGTCCACATCAGAAAAACATAGATTCTCTCTGCAAAATCCAAACTCTTCAACTCTTTCTCTCACTCTTGTTTCTCTGTCTTCCTGCAACAACCCAAGTCTCATGAGACTTGAGAGCGAGACTTCCTGTTGAGCAGAACATGTGTGATGTTGCCTCACTCCAACAATTTGAGCCTTTCATTGGTGGAAAGTACCAGATATTGAGTTGCCCCATCAGATTACATTGCCCTGTTGTGACTGCTGACATAGATGATCTACTGTCCCGGTTACAAAAGCACCGTTCTTTTACACACCCACAATTCTAACTGTAGGGCCCAGGCAGAAAAATACAGGAATCCCCCTTCATTTCCAGAGAAGATCATAGTTTCAGAAACAATGATTAGATCAGGACGCTGGAAACTCTGAACCCCAGCATGCGACAGTGATGACGGCAGCATCTTTGCATTATTTATGTTTTTTATGGCACCAACAAACTGTTGTGGGTCAAACCTTAAGTATGTATCTTCTAAATGATCCAATTATCTTGGCTGGTGCAGGTGATCCAGCCAGGCTCCCCTTTACTCAAACAGCAGGAGGGTTAAAAAAAACAAGCAGAACTTCTCTCTTTCATTTTCTTTTCCTCTCTTCTGTCCTGTCTGTTCCACCACCGCCACCACCTCCCGTGTTGTTTCAGACCTCACTCCCACCTCTCGTGCTGACTCATGCGCACACACAGCTCATTTTGGCGGAAGAGGAAACAGAGTAGTGAGGGTTGGACAGACAAGAGACTCGAGAGAAGAGTGAGAGCGATACTAGTCAGTTGGATGTGGGTGTTCGTCCATTCAGCTGCAAAGAATAGTGGAACTAGAAGAATCCTGAGATATTCACTTCAGTGTGGCTGTTTTAAAATCAAAAGAACAAATGTAGCCTTCCACATGTGGCTTTCCCTCTTTGAGAAGTTATTAGTGCCGCTCTTATTAAATGCACATGTTGCAAAACATTTTCCAAAGAGTCTTTTTTATATATCCACACATTTACTTTTATATATCCACATATAATGTTCCATATAATGTTGTCGTCTGAATCTGTAGCCATCTGAGTTCATATACGAAACCAACCAACACAATCAATTTAAACAATGGATTTTATAATAGAAATAAAAATATGACAAGTTCCATTACTCATATACAAGATTCATCGTTTTCACGACGATAATTTCTCCATATAGATTTTGTGATTGTGACAGTCATCATAAACTTGAGGCTGACACGTGGGATAAAATGAGGTGAGAGCTCATCCGTCTTATTTTCTCCGTGAGCAGTTTAAACGTGACGGTTTTAATATTAAAGCTCTGCCGTTAATCTTCACGAGTCCTGAATCTTCCTGCTGCTGCAGCTCGGGGGAGACCTGCAACACTGCAACACATCTTTTTCACATGCAGGATGATAAAGTTTTCACTTGATGCTGAGGAGCTTCTGATTTGGATTTCTCGGGGATCACTAACTGAATCCAGCTCATTGCTGGTTTAAAGCTTCAGGACTTGTTCACCTCTGGTATCTTTCTGTGGAGCAGTTTGAGTTTCAGTGGTGAGGATATATTCAGGTCAGGAAAGAACCCATTAGATTATTTGGTGCTGGTCTGAATCAGGAATCACTTTATTTAACATTTCGAGGTGTTTTTTGTTTGTTTACATGGATGAACAAGATATTAGGGACATTTAGAGACTGATCTCTATGACGACTTGAGTGAGCAGGTATGTGCTCTACTGAGTGCCAATACATTTACATTACAGTAATATTAAAAGCTGAGCTTAGACATGAACGATGATAACGTGTGTGTGTGTGTGGCTGACACCGACCGTATGCTGCAGTACTAATAACTGCCTATCGAAGCCTCCTGGTGATTGCTGCCTATCCCGCCCACACACACACATACACACACACACATGCCTTATCCCTCACTTCTGAATGTCAGTCATTCAGGCCACCCCACCCCCCACCCCCCTCACTCCCTTGGAGACCAGCAGGAATTGGGACTTTAATTAGCCACAGTAATTAGTCTCTCTCACTCACACACACACACACACACATTAAGGCACAGATCACTGCGCTGCATCTCACCTCGTCGCCCTCTGTCACAATCCACCAGAGTTTTTCTTGGTGTGCGAGTGGATGGAGGCTATTATGAGGAGCAGATTCCAGGAATGAATCCTGACTTTAGGAGCAGACAGGTTCAATAAAGTCGCAGAAACATGACACAGTTGAGTTATTAAGTTATTTTATCATTTAACACGTTGGCAAGTACGATCTTAATATTCACAAACCTTTCACTAACCCCTCATAAAAGCATCAGAGTCTTTATTTTATGGAAAATTGGCTACCTATGGCTTTTAAATCCTGCAGAAGATATCACAGATTGACCAGTCCTGTGTTTTATACGTCTGTCAGCCCATCGTTCATGCGTGTGGACGTCAAAGATACTGTTAATATTGCTGTAGATTTAAAGGAAGGGTTGGTAATAGAATCTTTTATATGCGGGAGAGGCTCTGTCTCCTTATCGTCTGAGTCTGCTCAGATTATGGTTTACAGTTTGATGTAAGTTTAACCGAAGCCAAGAAACATGTTTTATCTTATTTGTTTAAATCCTCTAGCATCAATAAAATGTCTCTGTCACCAAGTGAACGAGTCGTGGAAAGTCTTCTAGCAGTCGTCAGCCAGTGCACCTTCATGTGTTTTTCAGTCTTTTTTGATCCTCACATTCGCTTCAGTTGTTACTCATCACCGACACCATTGCAGGAAACTAGACTCTGATCCTCTTTGGTTAAAAAAACCTGAGCTTTAGTATTGAGAGCATGCACAGACACAGCAGAGGAAGAGACGCTGCCCTCTCTTGACACTGACACTGACACTGGCTCTGGATTTCATTTTCCGCCCACTATCACTTCACTGGCCTGCAGAGAACAGTGGGACGTTGTAGTTCAAAGTGCTGAGCAAGTCACTTCTTCTTCTTCATCCATTGCCCCTCCCCCTCCAGGAGTCCAAAAAACAGACGAGTCCCGTGGAGTGACATGATGCTTTTAGATAGAGAGAGAGAGAGAGAGAAAGAGGTGAACACAAAAACAAGAAGTGGGCGTGAATCTCATCAACACAATAAATTATGTTACTGGAATAATAATAATAAACTTTATTGATACAGAACCTTTTTAAAAAGTTACAAGGTGCTTTACAAGTTAAAAGAAATTAAAGGCAGTCGATAGGAAACTGTTAAAAAAGCAATTTGAAGATCTCAAAGCACCAGATCACAGACACAGTTCTACATACACACACATTCAGCACGTTCTCCATCATGCATCACTCTCACACACACACACACACACACACACACNCACACACACACACACACACACACACACACACACACACACACACTCACACACACACACACACACACACACAGCCGTCAGTAATAGTGTGTAGTGTAATCATTTTCTACATGTTCATGAGCGAGTGTGTTCATATATTTATCTCTCTCTCATTCTCTCTCTCAGTCCTCCCACTCACTAGACGCAGTGTGGGTGAGGAAGCTGCAGGTCTCCTTGAGCCATTAGTCACATATTCCGCACATTATACCTGCTCATTGCACCAATGTACACACACACACACACACACACACACACACACACACACACACACACACACAGAGCAAACACAGTGTGTCTCTTTATAGTGAACACACTGATGTGTCGGTGATGGAAAAATAGCATCAGCCCACCAGTCTTTTATGATTCAGTCTCATCCCGTACACAAGTGTTTCTTCTCTTTGATGTCGTCTTATCGCTCTTTGCTCTTTCATCTCCTCTCTCTCATCCTCCTCTCCTCTCCTCTCTCTCATCCTCTCCTCTTGCTCTTGTCTTTGTCTCCTCTCTACTCCTCTCCCTCGTCCTCGTCCTCCTCCTCTTCTCTTCCTCCTCCTCTTCCTCTCCTGCTCTCTGTGTTGTTGTGATGTTTTTCGGGGGTCTGGCAGATTGTTCTGCTCTGGCTGCTCTCCTCTGTCTTGTAAAAAAAGCAAAAACCAAAACAAAACGTTTTTGTCTCCTCCACCTACATTCACCGTCCCATCACTCGCCTTGACATCTCGATCTGCATCAACCTCCCTCTTCCTCCTCTTTCTCTTCTTCCACCTATAATCCATCCTCTCCTCTTCCTCCTTCTCCTCCTCCTCCTTTCTCCTCTACTCTCTGTCTGATGACCTCCTCTAATCCAACCCGCCATCTTGAATTTTTGTCTTGTTCACCTGACGTTGGCCTGGCTTGTCACTCCTATTCACCTGGCATCCTGTCTCCTCCCCTCCACCCCCCTCCCTTCCATCTCCACCCTCCACCCCTCCTCTCTCTGTTTTGTCTTCACAGTCACTGTATCCATCAGATTCTAGACAGTGTCCATCACATTCACCAACATGACATAGTGCACAGGGACTTGAAGGTTAGTATGTGTAGAGGAGCTCCTGCATCCCTCACCTCTCCCTTCCCCCAAAACCTTTGCCTGCTTCCTTTCCTTCCTCCGTCCCTTTCCTCTCTGCCTTCCTTTCTTCCTTCCTTCCTTTCTTTCCTTCCTCCTCCGTCTCGTCTGTTCGTGTCCTTCCTGTCAGTTGTTGGTCCGCCTTGTCCGACTTGTCTCTTGAATGCTCTTATGTTTCCTTTCTGCTTTGTTTTTCTATTGTACTATATTTTAATGTTAATTGGAGGAGCCCTGGCCGGCCTCCCCCTTCCCCCCACCCTCCTTACTCCATCCGACCTCCCACTCGTCCTCTTTTCGCTCGTTTTACAAACAACTACATGACAAACGCTCCTGTTGCACTGGCTGACAATCAGATCAACTGACGAATGAGCCTTGTACACACACACACACACACAGTCACCCCCCACTAAGAACACAACGTTCTGCTGGTGTGATAAATATCCAGTGTTTACACTTGCATGTACAACCATCAATTTCTCCCACCAGGCTAATTTAAAAAGAAACTGATATATTTACTGTGTGAATGTGTGTTATTGATTTTTTTTCCTCCCTCCCTGCTCCTCCTTCGTCTCAGGCTTTGAATCATTTCATTTTATTGTATTGATCCTGTATTTTCAAGAGTACGTCTTTATAAAGCAGAACCTGAAGAGATGTGATGATCTTCTAGTTTGCTTCTAAAAGCAGCTACACACACACACACACACACACACACACTGAGCTGCATGCACACCCACAACATTTTATAGACACAAGTTGTTTTAGCCTCGACCGCACATTTTCAGACACATGCTCACGCTGTGTTTCAATCTCTCAATTCACGGCTCTCGGTTTCTGGGCTGTAGATGTGACCTGTAGTATTTATTCATCAGGAGACCTTTAGAAAGAAGACAGGATTCTGATTTACAGCCCTGAACTTTACAGCTCATACCATGAGTCCGTCTTACTCCTGCGCTCGTCTCTCCCTCCCTCTTCCTTTCTCTCATGTTATGATATTTCGCAGACGGGCCACACACTTGTTAGATTCAATCTGCCCCCTATTGGCAGCTCAGTACCTGATCTGAATCTTCTAAGTTTGAACAAAACCTGGCCAAGTATGTTTGTTTCAGTCCACTTACCTTAAATTAAACTCCATTTTCTGCTGCCTGTCCAGGTCCACCTTGTGTTTTATGATAAATTAATTAGGTTGGAACTGAATTGACTGATTCATTTATAAAAAAAAGACTGTATGGTTTCTATCGGCTGCAAGTGTAATCAAGACGACCATGTTATTTAATACATTTTTCTTTTTTTAAACAATGTCGCTGAAAATATGCGTAAGCTTTATTTGGTTAGAGAGAAAGAGTATTTCTCCATTATGCAAAATCTTGTATTTAAAATATGCACCGTGCTGCTTTCTGGTGATGTAATAAAATCCAGTTTACAAATTTTGCATCAATTTTTAATTTTTTTTTATTACAGCACCAGACTGCAGTTTGCAAAGCAATTAATATTTTTACTGCTCTGGAAAGTTGTAATTTTCCCTATTAGTGCAGCGATCATCAGGTTAAAGCAAGAAATAAAAACAATCACTGTCAGGTCTTAATTAGATTTCATCTGACTGAACAGTCAGTAAGGGGGTGGATTTATTTTTTTACACACTCAACCTGTATGTATATATGTATATATATGTATATATATATATATATATATATATATATATATATATGTATAAGTATATAAGATATAAGTATATCTTCTCATGCACAGATATACTTATACTCACACCTCTGTCACACACACACACACGTTAGGAGGCTCACTGACATGAGGATGGATGAATGACAGCTCGTTCCTGCAGAGGGAGCAGACACGACATTGATCCCACAAACAGCTTTGATTGAACAATGACTCAGTCCGTCCCTCACCTCCTTCATCAATGTCCTCTCCCTCGTCTCTGCCACCTTCTCACATTTCTTCTGCTGGCTGAAACACGGAGGGGTGTGGTGTATCCAGAACCACCTGCAGCTAAATGAACAGGGTGTACGTCCTCGGATGAGAACAGAGAAGATATAGTGTGAAAAACATAAAGTATATCTCTTGGTGACTCAAAGGAATCTTCTGTCTGACTCCAGCTACAGCCAACGCTGAAAATCAGGAAGAGCACAGATATATCAACACAGTATTATAGACATCCACCAGGGGGAGATAGAGAGGCTTTGGCTTCACTTTTAAGTGGATCTCATACATGTACTCCGGAGAATGTCCGCACAGTGGGGTCTGCACTCTGTCCGTATGCAGGAGGCAGGAACTAATATCGATTCTGCTGCAGAGATCCCATGTTTTTGTTTACAGCAACACCAGCGTGGGCTTATATCACCAAAACCTCTCAAATCTCATTGTCGTCATCGGCATCTTCTAGTGTTTGGGTTGTTGTACCTCTTCTTTACATATTTGTGGTCTTTTTTTTTTAAAGTTTTGCGTCTGTGCGTCTCTGTCGTTTGTTACAAACATCCAACAAACGCGTCCACTCGCAGAGAATCTTCGCTTTCACTGGGAAATTATCCAGAGCGACAACTGCCTCAGACATTTACGTAGTCACAGCCCCTCCGGATGATTTCAGGAGATTATGCGGAGTTCAAGTCTGAACGCAGCTTTAGGGAGCCATCATGTCCACCATCTTTATCTACCGTCTATGATTGTGAGGTCTATAGAAACTAGATAATAAGTCACTAATTAATTTGAAGCTATTTAAGTGAAACCTGATTCTTCCTCATGATCCCGGGGGCGGGGGGGGGGGTCGCTGCGTAGCTGAAGGCCATAAAAGGCGAAGTGACAGTGGAGCCTTTTGAACCCTGTTTTACACGTCATACCTCCTCCCACCTCCCTCCCCCTCCCCCACCCCCCCTGGCCTGTGCACGGGATCGTAACACTGCTCTGACTAACATGCGCCCCCCTCGCCTCCCCCCCCTCCCCTTGGTGTTTGCATGCAGTCATTGCATCCAGCAGATCCTGGAGGCGGTGCTTCACTGCCATCAAATGGGCGTGGTGCACCGGGACCTGAAGGTGAGTGATGGGAGGGTGGGGGGGGGGGMGTTTATGGATTTGTGTCAGGGGGTTTTGTGGGTCTGTTATTTGTGTGGTCTGTGTGCGTGTCTGTTAAGTTAACGAGAACTTGTCTGTAATGTTGTTGGACTTATTGTCCCTTTCAAAGCCGGAGGAATGAGGGACGGCTTTGAATTCTGATTCAAGGAGACATATTATGCTTTTTCAGTGTTTCTTTCCTCTACTGTTATCGAGGTTAAAGCTAAAAAGTTAAAAAACAAACAAAGTCAGCAGTAAAGGGAGCTCCTCCCCCAGAGAAAGCACTAATGTCGAGGCTGAAACTATATCGTTAGCATAATGCACACCTAGCAGCTGACGGCTGATATCCAGGTAAAGCGAGAGCAGAGGCCGACATTTTCTAAACACCCTGGAAGCAGCTGACCAATCACAGCAGAGAGGCCCTGATAGGAGGGGGCCTTAAAGAGACAGGAGCCGAAACCAGGTGTTTCAGACAGAGGCTGAAGAGAGGAGCTGCAGCGATGGACAGTTTCAGGACAATGATGTAGTTTCTTGATATTTGAGCATGTAAACCTATTTAAAACCTGAATATGAGCAGAATACGTCTCCTTCAAAATACAGATTCTGTATAACACAGTTGAGGTCAACACAATAGTTGGTTGTACAATAAGAATGAGGCCAAAGCTCCTCTCATAACTAGTCAAATACCTCCTCTGACCTTTCTCTGGCTCTGCTCAGTCCCCACCTTCTTTTCCTTAAGGTGTAAACACCACCTCCTTCAGTCTGAGGGGATTTCACACATGCACCTCCTGTCTGGTTCTGGACTAGAACCTCAGCATTGCAACTTTTTTTGCAGCAGGTTGTCGTCATCGTACTGACGACCCTTTTAGTTCCTTGTCAATGAATCTATTTAAGGTGGCCCCTGGAGGACACTTAATCTGACCTCTGGTTCATTTACTAGTCATAGAGAGAGAGACTGTGAAATGAGGCTATTGATTAACAGAGTGTTTTCACGGCCTCTACAGATCATTTAATGAGCCTCAGTGCTTCAAACGTGACGCCTCATTTTCTGTAAACAGCCGTCAATTAGCACATGATGTTGTGACAACTGTTTATATTGGCCGGTTGATAACATTAGGTATTTTTCAAGGTTGGAAACTGAGAACCAGTCGCTAAATTTGAACTGGTTTCTTTGAACTGTGGCATTGCTTAATACATGACGTTACTGGACTTCTGCACAGCACGTGTGTCACATGGTTCATGATGTTTGTGGAAACGTCTCTTTCAAACCACAGAAACTGTTTGAGCTGCGTGTTTCCAATCCTTTCTTCTGTCTTATCTCTTTATTTTTTTATTTTTTTATGTGCATGCCTGTTTGTTGCATCTTCAGCGGTGCACGTCTTCTATGCAAATGTCAGTCCCGGCATTCCAGCAAAGACGTGTTGTGTTTATCAGAACTGTTGTGGCTATTTCTTTATTTAGCCGACACGCCTATCTGGTTTCACACCCAGGCATCGTGGAGCATTTCATGCAATAGGTCATAGTGTGATGACTGAGGACAGCCTGGGTGACAAGATCCCTTAAAATTAGGAACTGGGTTATGGCAGATGAGATGACAACACATTGAACAGATTTATATGTGTGCCAAAAAAATGGTAACACCATATAGCCCTGTACTGTACAGAATATACAGCAGGTGCCAGTTAGTTTATTGGAATATCAGAAATGAAAAGTGTGTTGTTTGTAAATCTGAAAGACTTTCTGACTCTAATACAGGTCATAGATTTTCAGAAAAAGTGTTGAATCTTTGTTGACTATTTAAAAACTACGTTTCCAACATGACAACATGTTAAATAAGGATTTTGCAGAAGAAAAATTCAGGTGTACACTAGAATCTCACTCAGTAGAGCGCAAACATCCCCCAATTAAATTCAACCGAGCTGCACCAACGTTCACACATTTATAGAAACCAGTCTCCTGAATATGTCTAATTTTTAAAAATCAGATCCATAAATGAATCAGCACCAAAATGTCCTGGGTTCGTCCCTGACCCACAATGCAGGGAACAAACTCCTTAAAATGTATAAAGAATGAAATCCTATATAATTCAAAAATGCAGCTTTAGATAATAATATGACTTAAATCTATTACATGCAAACCGATAAGTTCCATTTATGTCAGCGTTGAATAAGACAGTTTCTGTTTACATCTCTGCCGCTCTCATTAGGAATAAGTGCGGAACACTGCTGTCGCTCCAGATCAAGTCAGAGGACTAGAAAGAGAGAGAGAAAACTGGGAATCCTTCCATTAGAAACACCCACTCATGACCTGCTCTCTCCCTTTAAACATATCCCTCTCTCTGCCTCTCGGCCACAGCCGTCACCAGCGTCCTCAGCTGAGTCTTCACGTCCTCAGTGTGCTGGGGAGATGAAGGACGGAGCGTTGACCATATGTAAACAAAACAAAAAAAAGAAGGACGATCACTGTTGTAAGGTCTGAACCTGCGCCCTGGATGTTTTGCTTAGCGATTGTGCTCCTCTTTGATGGAAGCGCTCATTGTCATCTGAATTTCCACCCACGTTTTCACAGATTATCTCACTGCTGCAGCGTTGGCAAGTTCCAACTCTGCCGTTCACAAAAGAGTGAAGCCTAACCAAGTGGTGGAGCTGAGAATGTGATGACACGAGGGAGGCACGGCGTCTCAGGATTACAGCTGCACATCCTCCCTCTTTCTCTTTTCCTTCTCCTTTAGACTCAAAGGCTGCGAAAGCTGACTTTTAAGTATCCAAACTTTAAATACACAGTGTTCTGTTGCCTCCGAACAAATTAGCTGAGGGGAGAGAGCAGAGGGAGGAAGGCAGGGGATGAAAAACACGCTGCTGCAGTGCAGACGAGGCAGTGACAGAAATGCAGCCTAAATATAACGCGCTCATTCTCTCCGTGCTGTGCGTTCGCACTTGTTTTGCTCTGCTGCATTTCAGGAAACAGCTTCAGTACGGTTTCTGTTTGGAAGAAAAGGAAAAGTGTGTGAGTGACAGTGAAGAGATCATGTGAGTGAGACAGGAGAACAGATCTCGTGAGTAACTCCACAGAGAGTTTCTGTCCAGTCAGCAGAAGCTTTCAGTGATCATCAGTTACTAAAGACCGATTTCTGTCAGGTTCACATAGTCACTTTAAGTTTAGACATTAATAACAGACATCAATATCAACTATTATCAACATGAAAATGTTTTTCTTAGAATATATTAGATTTTTGCATAGCAGCTTAGTTTGCTGCTTTAACAGAGGCCATGAAACAGTGAGGCAGAGAGAGAGAGAGAGAGCAGGGACCAGTGGGGATAACAAGCCATTATTAGAGTCGTCCTCTGACAGAGAATAATGAGGCTGTAGCTCTATCTGGGCCACAGAGATGGAGCCTGTAGACCACAGCGCAGGGGGCGAGAGGGAAAGAGCTCCACAGACTGACTGACTCTATAACACTCTGCTGAAATGTGGACTAACGTTTGTTGTGTAGCTCCTGCGTGTGTGCGTGTGTTTACTTGTGTATGTGCTGAATACATTGTCTTTAAGTATGAATTCCATTTTCTTGCAGATGTGCATGCGTAAGCTCTCTTCTCCCACCTCCTCCCTCACTAGCACAGTGAATGTGTCCATCCTTCATTTCAAAATGTCTGCAAAACCTTATTTCTCTCCTCTTCCCCTCTTCAGCCAGAGAACCTGCTCCTGGCGAGCAAATGTAAGAACGCTGCCGTGAAGCTGGCCGACTTCGGCCTGGCCATCGAGGTGCAGGGGGATCAGCAGGCCTGGTTCGGTAGGTACACTGGATACAGGAGAGGATGACTGCCACCTTTACCTGAAGCTATGAGGGGCGTCAGTAATGATGACAGGAATGCAGTGAAACAATGAGGTTGCTGTGTCCTCGCGTCAGATTCTCCAGCGTTCCTCCAGACTTTATACCAGGAGGCCAGGCGGAGAATAAACCAGGATGTTCCCACACTGGACACTTACTTTTACACATGCACCTTCTCCAGAGAGAGTGCGGAGAATCTCTGGAGTTCATGTGTTCATGTTAAATGTTGTTTTTATGACTCCATGTGGATGAAAGCCAGTGATGGACAGTTTTTATACTTGTTCGTCGATCAACAATCAACACAATCTGCTGCCTCCAGCTTGTCAATCATGTGTGTGTGTGTGTGATTTTGCTGCAGGATTCGCTGGCACACCGGGTTACCTCTCCCCTGAGGTACTGAGGAAGGAGGCATATGGTAAACCTGTGGACATCTGGGCCTGCGGTGAGCGACACACACAGATTCACGCACAGTGCTGGATGGCTTTTCCTACATTTGTCAACCATATGTGTGTGTGTGTGTGTGTGTGTGTGTGTGTCTCAGGGGTGATCCTCTATATCCTGCTGGTGGGTTACCCTCCTTTCTGGGATGAGGACCAGCACAAGCTGTACCAGCAGATCAAGGCTGGAGCTTACGATGTGAGTCTCCTCCTCTCGTTTCTCCTCCTCTCGTTTCTTCTCCTCTCGTTTCTTCTCCTCTCCTCCCACTGGTCTCGTTCCTGTTTGGTAACGGTGACATAACTCAAGTCACCACATATTTCAGGGGGGGCTAGAGAGGACGTCTCACCTTCTTTCACGTTTCAAATGTGTCTCCAGCTGTGATTCTGAGCTCACAGCGCAAAGATATCGGTCATTTTCGCCTGAACACAAAAAGACATGATGGGATTAGAATTTGAAGATGATGCTGTGGTTCTATGTGTCTCTTCAGTTTCCTTCTCCGGAGTGGGACACGGTCACCCCAGAGGCCAAAAACCTGATCAACCAGATGCTCACTATCAACCCGGCCAAGAGGATCACAGCTCAGGAGGCCCTCAAGCACCCATGGGTCTGCGTAAGTGTCCCCCCCCCGCCCAAGACAGATATGATCACACATCTCACAGTGCTGCCCACCTAAAAGCATCTGATTTGCAAAAAACCTCCTGTTCCTAAACCTCTCTCTGTGCCCTCTCCATCCTTCTCCTGCTCCACCTTTCCTTCTTCCTCCTCCCAGCAACGATCCACAGTGGCGTCCATGATGCACAGACAGGAGACTGTGGAGTGCCTGAAGAAATTCAATGCCAGGAGGAAACTCAAGGTCAGTTTGTAAACTTGCCCTCTTCTGTATTTTCCTCCTCTGCTCGACCAAGAGATAAATCAACCCTCAACTGTATTCTGCTCGAAGCATCAATCCCTCATTTTGTCTAATAATACTTGACGTGTAAATCTGTAATCGGATCAAAGTTCAGCTTTAAAACGTGTGAAACGGAGATGACACATGAATTAGTGCTTTTCTTTACTGGCTCCCACATTTCCTACATGCGTTGTTTCCTCCCGACACTGATTTATTGCTGACACTGATACAACAGCTTAGCTATTTGAGCATGTGGCTGTTACCCTGCTGCTTTTGGCCGGTCCTGGCATGGCTCGAATACCAGCACATGGCAAACTGGAAGCAGAAACACAGGTGGCTGCAGGCGAGCGTTGGAGCGTTCAACCAACAAGCACCAACCAGTTGTCTCTGTCGCTAAAGGACACGAGCGCTGGTGACGTGAGACATTTAATTACACAGTAAACAACAAGAAATGCTAATAAAATCAGTAAACAAACACGTACGAGTGTGCGTCAGTTTATATTTACAACAAATACAATATTATGAGGATATACACCAGTATATTCATACATACAGTAGAATAGATACATAACCAGAAATAACCCATAATGACGTATTAGTGTGGTGCAACCCTGTAAGTATGTAAAAAGAATATAGATGACATATTACCCAGCTTACATTTAACTCTCCTACAATTCTAGTTACAACAGCAACTATCAGAAAATACGTTTTTTTAATGGACAGATATTTGTTGATATTCGTCTTTTTTTCTTATTTATTTATTCACGTATATATTTATCTAATTAGCTTTTGCTACCTACTTGAAAATGAATATAAAAGGGTAAAAAGATTTAAGAGAAGAATGAAGATCCATGATTGTTTCTCTAAGAAAATGAAGAAAATGTAAAAAAAAAACACTCTCACGATGTTCAAGATTCACGGATGCACCTTTTTCTCCAGATCCCTAAAATTCGAATGGCTTCTCTCTTGGTCCATGTCCCGTCCTTCCATCAGGTTTCAGGGAAATCTGTCCTAAACATAAACAGAATAAAGGACAGACAAATCTTATAATATCACAAACAGACAGAACACAATGAAAGAAAGATAAAAATCACTTTGAATGACGCAACTGGAACGAAATTGAACGTCCAGACTGACGTCTCTACTCCTGTGAAGATTTGTACTGATTTTCTTTTTTCCCTCATTTCCGCAGCTGAGAAATAAAAGTGAAAACGTTCCAAACCGACAAATTTCCCTCATGTTTGTTGCTGTTTTTCATCTCAGCTCTACTCGTCTGTGGTTATGGTGCGGTGAGATCAGCTAATTAGATAATAAGGAAATTATCAGCCTCCACAGTTCTGGTCTATTTTCAAGCCAGTGCAACTTTATAGCCCAATAAAAAAAACCTATCAGCTCCGGTTTTAAATTATCTCAAGATGAGCTGCCTCACTCGTTTCTTCCTCTGTCTGTCTCTTTTCTCTCCGAGCACAGTTTTGTGCTCCAAGTGTCGCACGTTTGCAGTCATAATACATTTTTAATGAAAACATTTTCCTCTCTGCCTGTCTGGCCCCAGTTATTGATGCATCAATATTAAATATATGGAGAAGTAAACAGGTCTCAGTAGTTTACATGTGCAGCTTGGGAGAGGAAACTTTGTGCCGTCTCAAGTGTTTTCAATTTGTGGGTTCTTGACTGGTGATCCATTTCAGAGATCGTCTGTCGGTCAAACAGCGTCGTTGGTTCTCTGATTTCCCAGGAAATAATTCCTGGATCTTGATCAGGCATATTTATACTACTGATATGTGTGTGTATCTGTGTGTATCTGTGTGTATCTGTGTGTACCTGTGTGTATTTTGGAGCCTCCGATGTATTCGCTCTACTGCGTTCTGTTCCTGTTCCTTTTTGATTTTCTGCTGATAGTGTTCAAGATTCTCACAATCAATGTGTATAGAATTATTATGTCACCAGTTTAAATGTTTGAAATTGGACTTCTCTTCTTGGTTTTTTTTCTCCGCAGGGGGCCATTCTTACCACCATGCTGGTTTCTCGAAACTTCTCTGGTGAGTGTTTACTGGACAGAATTCTTATATTTCACCATTATCACAAATCTACAATTTATATCCGTGAACCGACGTCGGCCAATATGCAATTTACATTTTGTCTGCGTGCAAATTATATTGATAAATGCAAAATAATAAGAATAATTTCAGTAACATGCCGCCATGTTGGAGGATTCAGACTCTTAAAAGTGATTTTCACCCAAAGTCTTTTCAGCCACAATAACAAGAGCTGAGAATTTCAGAAGATCATCTCTTTAAAACAGGAGACACTAAAAAAGACAATTTCGGTTTCTGATCTGTTCTGCCAAAATGGTGGGATGTGCTTTGTCAACCCTGGGAACAGTAAACATTGTGTGACAGACCCAGATGTGTCCCTTCGCCACAGAGACGTTTTTAATTCTTAATTCTACCGAGCGAGCTTTCAGAAGCAAAATCCAGTCTTCATTTCATCTCAGTGCAAATTCAGTGTTTCCCTCATTTTCATACAAGCGCTTCTTTTTCCTTAATGAGGTGATAAAGCAAACTCTTATATAACGTCAAGTGTTCTCATGAAGCAAGTAAAAAAAACTAGAGTGTCACTCAGTCGAGCTCATATCTCAGCCAAGTCCCAACAGTCTCCTTATGAAACCACATTTAAATTCACCACATCTGGATTTTTATTTGAATCTGCACCAAAATGAAAAATGTCAGTACCTTAACCATGTCTGGGGTTTTTTTTTTCATCAAGATAAATGAATAAAATCTCTGAGAAATGGGAATAACTCCTGCGGTAAAACGTGGAGAAACACTGAACTTGAGCAGCAAGCTGTGGACGTGTTCTTGTCTCCGTTCTTGTCTTTATATTTGTGTATATTTCTGTCGTTGAGGTTTTTAATCTCTGCTGTAATATCAGATCGACAACATCAAATCTGTGCCTCAGAGACTCTTTGACAAACTTTCTTTAGTCAGAAATCAAACAAACCTCTTTTTTCCCAGATTCACTTCATCCAAACTAAATAAATTAAAAAATAAAAAGGGATTAATCAGTTTCACTGAATGAGACATTTTAATGCTGTTGTGGTCGTCAATGACCAAGAAGCAGAGACGATTTGTAAAATATTGATTATATTTTCTGGAGGTTTGTGACGAATGATCCAAAGTAGTTCCTTCAGTTTGTTTTAATGAGTCTTGGCCACTGTTCATATCCAGTACATCTGTATTTCACAGATACAAGAGAAACGTGTGCGTGTGTCTCGAGTGATCTCTGTTTGTGTGTGTGCAAGCATGCAGCTTCTGAAAAACACCACAAGCTTCTCAACGGCAAATACACACCCACACACACACACACACACACACACACTTACTGACCCTGACACCTTTTCTCTCGCTCTCTCTCCTGCATCCATTCCGAGTGCGAGGTCATCAGCTAGAAAGTCAATGAATAAGAGACGGAGCTTCGGTAATAAATTGCCAATGACTCACCAACATCAGCGCCTTACACAACGGGTCACTATATTCTCATCATATGTTGTGAATCATCGGTCGAGGTGGATCTATTTTCCTCCTCACGCTGATGTAACGTCTTGTGGTAGTCACAGCACGGACGATCTTGTATAGATGAAGTTTAGATGAAGTTTTATTTAAATATCCTGACAGTAAACGTCTCCAGTGAAGCCGCACGTTTAGCTGTTAGTGAGCACATTGAATCTAACATCTGGTGAAAGATACCAGCTCTCTCTGTAGTTTGAGAGAAGATGTGGTGTTTCCAGATTTAATCTCCGCAAATCCTAAAATATAAAGAAATATATAAAATAGTGTAATTCACAGTTTCTAACATGTGACGGACACAAACTTAGAAGCTTCCAGATGTTTGAGGATTAAAAAGAGGAGCAGAGGAAGAAGACACAACAAACGTCCTCTCCTGCCTCCTGTCGCTCCGTCCAGCCTCCGCCCTTCTCCACCTGAATGTTCCGGACATTTTAATTTTGCTGTGAACGAGTCTGACGTGAACAACCTCCTGCTTCATATATATAAAAGATAAACTTCGCCAAATGTCCGGAACCAATTATCGAAACTCTCTCCGACGTTGATGAGAGTTAAGATTTGTGTGTGTCCCTGACGTTGTTCTCTTCTGTGACAGAATCTGCGTCACAGCCGAAAAGTGTTTGTGTGTTTGTATTAACTCCACTTTGAACTAATGAGCCCTGTGTGTCTCACCTCTGCTCTCTCCTCCCTCTGCCTCTCACCTCCTCTTCCTTTACCCTTCTCTCTGAATACCACTTCTCCTTCTTTACCCGCCGTTCTCCTCTTCCTCTCCTCCTCGACTCGTAACCCTCTTTCGTCCTGTGTGCCCGGTGCTGGACTCTTTATCAGTGGGCAGCAGGCAGACCACCGCTCCGGCCTCTGTCACTGCGGCCGCGGCAGCAGTGGCTGCAGCCGCCGGCACCACCGCGGGGCTGGTGGAACAAGGTAGCACGGTGGCTCACCCAGGGCATGCCACCCCTCTCTGTCCCCCTCTCTTTATTCTTCCTCTTCTCTCATTCGTCTCTCCTCTCCCTCCCTCCTTCCTCAGCATGGCAGCTCAGAGCATGATGGCTGACCACATCACTAACGACACCGCCCATCGTGTCATCATCAGAAGCAGCATTAGCGAGGATTCCATCCCGTGTGTTAGGAGAGACGTCATATTTTGTTTTATCCAACGAAGGTGTTCTTAGCTAATCACATGGCTAAACAGGGATGTTAAGACATTGACATAAATCCATGTTTCAAACCTTCACAGCAGTTTGCTTCTAGTCCTATTTTTTTTTTGCTGCGTACATTTTTAAAATCTGAAACGATGTTAACGATGGAAGCCGAGCTACTGCCGTCATTTCCACGTCAGCTCATCCGTCACCTCCTGTCTCAGATGTGATCGTCGGGCTGCAGCGCCACTGACCCATGTTCATCCTCATCTTCATCTCCAGAAGCGAGCGCAGAGCATGGCCTCGACTCAGCCACACTTCTGTCCTGTCCCCCTGTTTCTTCTCCTCTTTTCCTCCCACCTCACCTCTCTCACATCATCTCTCCACTTTGTTCTTTCCCTTTAATCTGTCATTTCTGCCTCTCTTGTCAACTCCACCAGCATCGCTCCCACTCTCCCTCTCTTTCCACCATCATTTCATACATCTCACTTTCGCCCTCACTCCTCTTTCCCTCTCTCGTCTTCTCTCTCTCTCTCTCTCTCTCTCTTTTCTCTGTCTGACAATGACACTGGAAAGTTCACCCCTGTCACTTAAAGGATGGAACTGCCCGGGAGCTGACGGTGAATGCTGCATGGGGCACTGGACCGGTGCATGCGCTGCAGCACTGAGATTGTGGTGCATGGTGAACACTGTGGAAGATGCAAGATTGGGCTGGTTCTCATGAAGGCTGTGGCTGTGGCTATTTTGTATTTTGTACTATTCATGCATTGAGGATGTGTCCCTCAGCAGCTCCCACACACTCCACATTCTGTATATACAGATGATATTATCTGCGCTACCCAACGGAAACAATCAATAGACTAACTGCAGTTATGCTCTGTGTTCAAAGAGAGGCAGAAGAAATCTAAAACCAACAAACAGACAGGGGTGAAAACATATACCAATAACCTTCTGGTGAATTTGAACAGAAGACACACGTGCCCAACTGTACGACCTCCACAAACTGTCCAGAGGTCACATGAAGGACGAGAGGTGAAAAATCTGTCAAAGCGCTGCACACTAACAAGTGTCACCGCCACAGCTGGTGTGTTTAAATTAAAAAAAATGAATTTAAACAATTCACAGAACTGAAAATAAACCTGCAGAAAGACTTTTTTCCCGGTGGCGATATGAGCTTGTTAAGGTTATAACCTTTACAGCTCACACAGAGCAACATCCCCTGAGTCTTGTTTACTTGCCTCGAGTCTTGTTTACTCGCCTTTAGCTGTCAGAGGAACATGTAGCTGCCACATCCTCGGCTGCCTTCACCAGTGAGCTCAGCTTCTCTGATCTTTATTTCTGGAAAAAGGCTGTTTTACTCTTTTTCTTAAAAGAAGAACCTGTTAAATTTAACAACATTCAGTCAGAGGCCGATGCTGCAGTAGATGCTGAGGTCATGAACGTGAACTTAATGCGTTCGCTCTGGGTCTGGATGAAACGAACCATGGGCGTTAGATGAAATAGAGCTTCACGTGACAGTCTCGCACTGAGCTGAGGAGACAGAAGTAGTAGTAGCGTCCTTGTTTCCTTTGGCCCACTGGGACTCCACTGTCCTCTCCTTGTCCCTCAGACTCCACTAGGATTTAATCAAATATTTATACCGCCTCTCCCCCCGCTGGCTTACTGGAGCCTCGCTCTGTCGTCCATATTCATACAAACATATACAGCAACCTACGGCATCTCTCCCTTCCCTCATGCAGGAGTATGATAAATGCTTCTTCTCTTTATTCTAGACTTGACTCGATTGCATGTTCAGATTTCTGTGATGCTCTCACTCAGAACCCTGCACTCGCACTCACATAGCCTCTACAATTTAATATGTCAACACTACTCGTGGCATTCTAACGTTAGAAGAATTTTGACGGACCCAGTAATTCTTTGGGAGCACAAAGAAATATCCGAGTGCGAGCACACAGTTTGAGCACAGGCCGATGAAATCTAATCAAAAGGGGCTGTTTGAGTGTCAGCGCAGGGTTCAGAGTGAAAGCATTTCAAAATCTGAAAATCAATCAGCCCTGCTCTCAAACTGAAAGACCATGAACATGTTCTTGCACCTGAAAAGGTCCCAACAGGAGCTTGTTGCAGTTTCAGATGCCAACGTCTACGTCTCATGTGATTATCTCTGAATCTTCATGCGAGTCCACGCCCATCCTTGCTTCGCTCTTGCAGTCGTGCATCCTGCGTGTTTTTTTAGTGGGACTTTATCAGTGATGATTTTTTGTTTTAACCTCTTCCTCCTCTCTCTTCTTGCTTCATGTGTAATTTTTGGCAAGGTAAGGAGCACCCATTGCTTCTTCACCTTCTGTTTGAATTAAGCGACATTTGATTTTGATTTTTTTTCCAGGTTTCCACAGAGATTTCATCATCATCACTGGAATTTAAACCATTGTTAACAACCTTGGGTAGAAAATTCACTTTGACACTTTGACAGAATAATGGTGTTCGGAAAGAGCACAGTAAAACACTCATCACTTTCATCATCCCTCCTCTTCGTTCTCTTCTCATCTGCTCTCCTTTCACATCCCTCCCTCCTCTACCAAGCCATCAGAGAATATGAGAGAGTGAACCTGACACTGCTCTGACCGCATTTCTTCTCCTCAGTAACAACCGGCCTGTGGAAGGAGGCTGAGGAGGGAACCGTGCACGTTCACGCCACTGTCACATCCCTCCACTTCCTCTTTATCACGTCCTCTTGCTCCCTCCTTGACTGCTGAATATGCAGACCTCACTTCAAGCGTGAGATACGATGTCCCCGAGGCAGAAAAGTAAAAAGAAAGTAGAAAGAAAGTCAGGACAGTCAGGACTAGGACAGCGTACATCCTGTATCTGACTTTTCGCAGTTTGTTTTTATTGTCTCACGCTTGAGTTATATCTCAAAAAGTTGTCTCATCTCTCAGGAGATATATTATCTTATGAAAATGAGTGGGGAACGACTTGAATGACTTTGAAAATGTCCTGTCGATTCTTCCCCACGAGAAATCAGTGAACAGCAAACAGAATCAAAACGAAGAAATTCTCACGGAATTCAGGCTTAGTTTCATTTTGTTTGTTTATTGATTGATTGATTTTCAGGACAAGAGAGAAGACATTGAAAAAACAATTCAAGGACAAGAACAATGAATACAGACAGAGAGAGAGAGTGTGAGAGAGAGAGAGAGAGAGAGAGTGTGTGTGTGTGTGTTCTATATAATCATAATAGGATCAAGAAAAGAAGATATATATGAGAATACTACTACTAGTTCTACTACTACTAATAGTAATACATATAATAATAAGCCCACCACTATGATAATAATATTATTACAACTATATTGTCATAACTTGATAATGTTGATGATAAAATATATTTACACTTGTCTTGTTGCCACCGATTAAATTTCTAACAACAGTAAAGAACATCGTCTACTAACTCTATTATCATCTTTACAATTATATTTGGAAAGTGTTTGGAAATAGTACAGTATGTCTTTTGTTCAGGCCGAGAGACAAAGGAGGGGAGAGGAAGAACGAGAGAACGAGACAGAGACAAATTAATTAATAAATAAATCCCAGACCACCAGAAATAGTGTTTTATATAATGTGGCTGGAAGCTGATGTGATAGAATCTGATGAGACCTGAAACTGCACTCAGCCCCTTAGAAGCTCCCGATGTGGGGGACGAGAGGAAGAGGAGGAGTCGGGGCGTGAACCAGCAGCTGATTGGTTCTTTTATTTCCCAAACTACTGTCACTCATACTAATATAGAGGTGACAGACTCAGGACTGTAACAGACAGACGTCCTCAAATAACGTCGAATGATTCATTATACATTTTGGCTCTTGATGTAAAACAATTCTTTTAGTAACTCTATAAATACTGATGTTGTCTCACCCTAAAAATACAGACCTATAAATATAAAATACAGACCTATACATATTTAAAAAAGAGAAAAAGCTTTTTTAATCTCTTACTCAAACACCATTACATTTGGAAACTTAAATCAGTGGCTGCGTTCTAATTTAATATATCAGAGGTAAAATATGAGGCAGTACAGAAAAACTCAGGCCCCATCCCTCCACCAGGTGCGGTGGAATTTGATTTTATAGTTAAGAGAAAAGTAGAGTCGAATAAATTGTCACATCAGCCTAATAGAATATTTCTGTTGTGGATGTATAATAGCTCAAAAACATTTTCACCCAAAACAGGAAACGTAACCTCCTGTCGGCCTGAACTCTTTTCTTGAGTGCATTTTCAGTCATCAACTTTTAAGATGTAAAAACTCGTTAGACCTCGTCAAAACATCTGGCGTCTCGTAAGTGCTGCTCCTCCGTCTGCATCCTCACAGACACACTGAGAGCGCGGCTCTTGTTTCGGGGCCCCTCTGGGTGAACACGCCTCCGTCTAATGCGATGGGACCACCTTGCTATGCGTGCTTCAGCAGCGCAGTCAGGCTGAATGCCCCGCAGACCGCGTCGTGTCGTCTGCACGCAGCTTTCACTGTTAGTAAGGGATTATGGGTAATGCGCTCATCAGAGGACTGTCTCTGCAGCATCCTCCTTCCTCTCCAACCCTCCTGCCTCACCCTCTTCCTCATTACCATTCATTAGAGAGCAGACTGACGACTAATCCTCATTAAGGTCCCCACAGGGCTCTTTAAGTCAGGGCTTACAGTTGGGTTTGCGCGACTGCCGTGAGAGGCAGCCATCTTTGTTCGGGCTTCCTCACGGCCACTCGGCACAAGAATCAATGTGAAACAATGAACTTGACAAAGTTTTGGATTGTTACTCCTATAAAAGCCACACATCAGTGTCTAACCCTAACCCTCCGTCCTGGGAGAGGGATCCTCACATCTGGTTTCTACGTTTTTCCCTGTTAATAGTTTTGTTTCCGTAGTTTTTTTGGATGTCGCACCTTGAGACTAATTGTAGTTTGTGAATATGGCTAACAAACTAAATCTGACCTGATTGATTGATGGTTATTTGTGACGCACCGGGTGGTTGTTGTTAAAGACATAGTTTCATTACTGAACAAAAAAAGTTAATCAAAGTACAACTTAATTGGAAGAAGATGTTTTTCTTGTGTGAGACAAGTAGATCAGCAGAGTGTAAAGTGATGGATCAATGAATTCCTCACTTCTTGAATGCGGCGGGGTTGTTCAGCTGGAGAAGTCCCAGTGCTGCAGTTTTAAAAGAAAGTTTAAAGGAGACATATTTTTAATATTCAGGCTGATGATTTTAACTTGTTGTGTCAGAATAGCCGCTAGCCGTTGCATTATGTAAATGTTGGACACTTGAGAGTATCAACGGTACTTCTGACGAGAAGTTTCAGGAGCAGATTTCTAACTTTGCAGAACTTTTACATTCACAAATAAACTGTACACACAGTAGAGGAAAGAGAAACTGAAGTAAAAACAGCATATGTCTCCTTTAAACACTTTATTAACAGGAAGAGACCAGCGCAGCGACAAGTTAATGAAAACTCAGATAAAGTGAAATCAATAAAATCTCTGTTGTAGCTTAAAGCAGATATTGAGCATCAAAGATATTGACACTGATTTGCTTTACTTTTCAGTTCCTGCTCTTTTCTCGGCTCTGACTCACTTGTTTTGTTTATGCTTGTCATTGCAGCAGCGAAGACCTTGCTCAACAAAAAGGCAGATGTGAAGGTAAGAGTCGTCACACTCTTCAGTCTCCTCTTGAATCTCACTCACTCTCCGGAGCTTCACACTCCTGCCTCCTCATCCTTCCTCAGCTCCTCTATCTGCTTCTTTCTGGCTGATCTCACTCAGTTCAATGTGTCTGCCATTACTGTTGCGACTGTCTCGATCTAACTGGATGTGTGTGTGTGTTTGCGATATAAGTGAAGAATAAATGTGTTGTTTTCAGATTGTGCATCAGTTTTGGGGCTGTTGTTTTTTTTTTTTCCTACTCCGCGATAGCTGCTTTCACACATGCACTGGGCTCCAGAGATTCTCCGCACTTAGTTTCTGTGGACTTTGTCCTCTCTCTCCTCCTGGCCCACTTGTACTGCGAGCGAGTGGGGAGGCTGATGATGCTTCCGACCGACACAAAGGTGGAAAAAAAACAAAAAAAACAAAAACACATGGAGCCACACAGACGAAGATTTCAAGAGAGTTTGTGGTGATAAGAACAAAAACAAAATCATGTGATCTCCATGCCGGAGTTAATACATCACTTCCTGTCTCTGTCTGCTCCACCTCTCGTCACCTCCCGCTGCGTTGTGCATGTGTGAAATAAAAACTGCAGGTAAACTCCGAACCCAATTATCTGGACTTTATCTGCGATCTGAAAACAGTTTGTTTCTGGTGTTTTAAAGACGTTCGGGGGGAATTAAAAAAAAAAGTGTCTGTTTCGTTTTTTTCTGTATGTGCATGAATCAGCCAGCCTCACGTAGCACATCCCTTTTGAAAGCCCTTTATTTTGATTTAGCATTATTGCCACCTCTCCGTCTCCATTATTAAATGTAACCATCTGTCAGCCCGCCCCACTCGTTCTTTTCATCACTTCCTCTCGCTCTCATCCCTCCATCTCTGCGTCTTCCTCCTCATTCACTGCTTCCTTTTCCTGCTCACCCCATCTGGTCTTTAACCTCACATTCCTGTTCATCCCTTAATGAAGATCTCTCACCATCCCACGCTCGTGCACGCACACATTACAGTAACACATCCCACACACAGCTTTCACAAACGTGTGTGTGTGTGTGTGTGTGTGTGTGTAGCACGTGTGCATGGTTGTGTGTGACAAAGTGCGGAACATGATGTACATGCAGATGAACATGTTTGCCCCTCAGCATTGTACATCATGTTAAGTAGAGGTTTGTGCACATGCATGTGGACATACAGATGTGTGTTTCTGTATTGTTGTGTGTGTGTGTGTGTGTGTGTGTGTTTGTTAATATATCATATTTGTCAGTTCAAAAGAAGAATGAAAGTGGGGGTGTTAGCAAGCCTGCACATAGAGAGTGTGCATAAGTGTGGGTGTCTGCATGTGTGATTTGCTCATGTGCATGTGCAGCAGTGTGTGTGTGTGTGTGTGTGTGTGTGTGTGTGTGTGTGTGCGCGTGCGAATGCCCCCCTCCCATTCCTGCTCAGTCGGTTCAGCAGGGAATGTGACTCTGGTTCCAGGAATAGCTGCCAGTCTGGACCCTGGAAACTCAGACGACAGAAATAGACGCTTACTTCCACTGCGCCGCACTCATCGCCTAGCAACAGGCTCCACACACACTCGCCCTAAACCATTTCTAAAGGCGTCGTCTTCATTTGCTGCTGTTCCTCCTTTGCCCCCCCCCCCCCCTTATTCTGACCCAGAGTTGCCCGAGGCACCGAGAGCTACACATTCTCTTGTCATACCAGCTGACTTCCATCACCACTTGCCCCCCCCCCCCCACCTTCCTTCGTCTCTCTTCTTTTTTCCTCCCTGCACATGTGCTCTTGTTCTCTTGGCGACCCTGACCTCCTCTCCTCGGCCCGTCCTCCTTCTCCCCCCCCCCGCTGGGTCACTTATGCGTAACGGCACCTGACATTTTTCAAATCCAGCACCTGCTCCATGCAAACGGGCACTAAGTTCTCGCCACCTTCAGCGACTTGTGCTGCCAGCTACTGCTGCTCCGATCAGCATCCGTGTCGTTACACTGACATCTTGATCTGTAGCATTCATTCGCATCGACATCGACCAGAACCTCTGCAAAACAGATTTGGTCTGTTTCCTCACATGCACCCACGTCCACAAATTGTGCTGATCATTTATTAATGTGCACATGCTACATTTAACAGAGCCTTGATTTTAAATTTAAGATGAGTTCTGGGGGAATTCCTTGTCATACACTTCCTTCTCTTGCTCTTCTTTATTTTCTGTTGAAAATAGAAGAGCAGTTTTGACGTCTGTGCGACTCCTCTGGGACACTTTTCCTGATGACTTCCTCTCAAACCCCTGCTCCGCTCCGTCTTTGTGCACCTCTCCACTTCTGCTTTCAGTCAGATACTCGTCCTTCTTCTTCTCTTTTCCTTTAAGGGTCGAAGACTGCACTGCAAAATGTAAAAGTTTTGGTTTAGTCTGACAAGTTCTCTTTTTTTCTTTGTATCAGTTCATTCTTGTTGTAAATGATTACTTTGCCCCCTACCCCCACTTTCTTCTGCCGTCCATCCATCTATAAATCCATCCATTCATCCATCGCCTGAGGACAGAAACGCAAGTCCAGCTCGACTGTTCAGTATATGGTGAGCATGCAATTTATGCATCTGCCCCGTTATTCCTTTCTCTGCTCCCTCTCTCCTCTGGTGAACCATTGTTTCTTTTTATTCACCTTTTCGCTGCCTTTACTTTATTACATAGGTGGAGTCGAGTCTCCTTCCCTTCACTGTCACACTCTGATGCCTCATTCATAAAGCTTTTATATTAAAACAGCCGCCTGGAGTCAGAATATTTCTCCGGTGCACAAGAAGTTATGAAGTTTACAAGTTCGGAAACATAAATTTAATATTTAACTGTTACAGTGAACAAAGAAAAGAGATGTTCTGATACCATACCTTCCTGGTACTGATTCCGATACCTGGACTTTGCGTATCTGCAGATACTGAGTACTGATCCAATACCAGCACATTTTTAAAAACATGTATACTAACTGTATTTGGAAGTGATGATTGCCATCATTGTTGTCTCAAACAGAGAATACTGAAAAAGAACACAAATAAATACAAGCACAACAATTACTTTAAATAGAAATAAATGTAACACTGAAGTCTTGCACATGTTACCCGTCACCATTTTACTTTGCTGTGAAACGTTTCTAAATTACTGACACATTCATCACTTCACTTCACTTCTTCTTGCAAACTGTACTTGCTGGTATTGGTTTCGGAACACATCTAATTAATAAAGACAGTTACCACATGCTGTACTTCAGCGACAGAAGATGCTGGGCAGGAGTTGTTGCCATGAGACTAACCCTGACATTATTCTGAGATTGTAATGGAAGCAGGATGTTTCCATCAGTTACTCCAGGGACGCTGCTCCAGATCTGTCAGGGGCGCTTTTATAGAACAGGTGCTCGTAGTTTTAACACAGAACTCTTTGGTCTGACGAGACGGTGCACACTGAAAAAAGTGGGAGGTAGAGAATGGAGAGGTTAGAGACAGGGTTACCAGGTCTGCGTGACAAAACCAGCTGAATAAATAATACCAGAACTCCAAATATACCACACATAAAGCATGAACAACTGAAAACACAGCTCAGAAAGTGGAGAAGTTTAGTGTATCAGGATTAAAAGCAGTTAACTCAAAACAGTTCTTTATCCAAGGCCCAAAAACGACCTCATCACCACAGACAGTTTGTTATCACAAATTAAATACAGCTCTGTGAACATTGTTAGTTTTTACTTTGAAAAAAACAGGTAGAATCAACCCGCGTAGCCCAATTCCCCTGGAAAACCGCAGACCTGGCAACCCTGGTGGGAGCATCATTGCTCCTGAGTCCTCTGAGCACTGAACTTCTTTATTTTTTTCAAATTCAGCCAAGTGCATTGGAAGGGAATTTGACTCCCAACTCATTTTCCTCTCCTCTTCCCTGATTAACCCTCATGTCCCTCTCACCTGACTTTTTTTCTGCGGCCCCACCGTCTCTCCTCCCTGTGCACTGATGTCTTTTCACACCCTGTGGACACTTTTCCCCACATTCCCCTTCCTCGTCCCTGGAAACATCTTTAAACTGTGTTGAAATTGTGAAGACGAACACTTCTCCACACACGACCTCTCGGCTGTGAACTTAATTATATCTCACCGTGATGCTGCTGCTTCCAAAGTGGAAAATGTTGCAGACGTTTGGCTCCGGACGTCAACACTTGGTTCAGGACTGTTGTCATCGTGCCACATTTTTAAACACGGGTTGATCCCGCAGACGATTTCACCAGCTAATCGTCGCTTAGCTGAGGAATACATTTCCTGTTACTGTCGGGGGCAGAGGCAGCGGAGTGATGGCTCACGACAGCTTTGGTTGGATGAGTGTGTGTGTGTGTGTGTGTGTGTGTGTG